GCTAGGATGTGCTGTTGCACTTACCAGGTGCAGAGTGACTCCATAACTGGTGTGTGACAATGTCCTTGCATCTCAGCAGTGACTGCTCTAAGTTCTGTCACATAACAGGCCTGTTCGTGTGCTCCATGGCTCCACCTCAGAACCAGAGAAGAAAACCAGTGAGCAAGAAAACCTGAAATGGGACAGGATGGGAAGTGGCTGCTCCTGCTCACTGGAAAAAGGTAATTCTTTTTAACACACAGAAAAAATTGGGGTTACTTTAAATTGTAATTTGCCTGTAATCATTGAAAAAATTATTAGTGAACCCAGTACACTAGCAATACTTTCTGGAACAACTGCTGGCTATAACCACACCATGTGGTAGAACAGGCCATCAACAGCAGCAGAAGCACCCACCCTCCCACCCCGTTCCGCTGCTCGGGCACTAGTGTGGAACAAATCTGCGTCGTCATCTATAGCCCAAAGTTCAGCTCCAGTAGATCATTAACATCATCTCACACGTAAGTATGTGGTGCTGTACATGGTGAGGTCTCAGCAGCGTGAGGGGCTGATGCACTGCGTTGCAGAACAGTTCTGGTACTAGTCGGTGTTCCCAGAATTGTGTTGCATGGCCAGCGCCAAGCAAAGGACAGGGATACACCAGTGGCAAAAGGTTACTCACCTTGCCTGGCTTGAACTGGCACTTCCATCACATGCTACTATTTTCTACAACAAGAAGCTTCTATTAGGTGCAGCAACTAGACACCACGGGGCTAGTCCGGATGTGAAGCTGAACGTAATTTTTACCTCTAGCTCTGGAGTCCATTGTGGCATTGTCCTCTCTGCTGTCATCCTTGGGGCCATTAAAAGCGGTTCCAGCGTGAGGTGCCTGGGGAGTGGAGGCCGAAGGCACGCGGTCCTGAAACCCAACTGCCAGCAGGGCCTCAGCCTACAGATGAGTTTCTCCTGACCCGTGCTCGCGGTGTGACACACTGGTGGCTTTGCCGTTCCTTTCAGGAGGAGTGGCTGCACCAGCCGATTGGGACAGGGGAATCGTTTGCTTGTTTACAGTAGTTAAGACCTTGTATGAAATACTCTTCTTCACCTAGCAACAACTTACACTCAGCCCCTCATGCTCTGTTACCCTTCAGGTTGCTCCGATTTACACCATGCAGTAGAGTTTTACACACCATGACAGCTGCTTTTCACTTCAAACCCCACCACCACCCCCCACAGCGACACGGACCTCGAGCAAACAAAGGGTCGGAGTCAGGGCTAGCAAAGAGTCCAATGACCAGCACACTGTCTGAAAAAACAAAACACTTTAATTAGACAACTGCAAGCACCTCAAACAACTGGTTATTGTTACAGCATGGGGCGATCTTCTCACAATCTAGTTATTGCAAAGGCAGGTGAAGAAATTTCATATGGACAAAGTCAAGAAAAAGTGGCACTGTAGTTACATGAAGATCAGAAGTAAGCTTACATTCATCCCACTGACTTCTAAAAGAGGCCAACACACACCTCCGTACTGTACATTCTAAAATCTGTATTGCCTATAAGCTTCAGCCTATGCAGCTTTTTTTTTTTCCTAGGAAACACGTAATTGTTGCGTGCAACTTACAACAGGTAATCGTATGTCTAGTTATGGGAAAAAAATAAAGGTAGTGCAATTTGTTTTAGAAACATGTAAAGCTATGAATGGAATGAGCATGATCTTGCTTCTTGGATTATTTTACCCACTGCACTGAAAATATTTGCAGCTCTATCCTTCCTTAACTGACTCCAAGCACACACTTTTATTGTAAAAGATCAGTAATTCTACACAGAGAGTGGTTCTCATGCTCAACTTTTAATTTTTTTTTTTTCTTAAGGTATAGTACAACTTACAGTGCTTATAAAAAGGCAACACCATATGGTACCATGTCTTCACTATCACATTGTAAGGGAAATTGCTATTTTTCTTTTCTTAAAAGCACTTAAAATAGGCAAAAGTTCTAAAAGGGAGTGCTAAATGATAATGCATACTTTATTAGAAAGAAGTCTAGCCTTCTTTAAAGTGCCATTTGGGGAATGAAATCCTGTAAACCAGAGCCGCTTTGTTTAAAATCCAATGAACGGGAACTGCTACAGAATAGAAAGTTTACACAATTCCTTAAAGCAGTTTAAAGTCCACTACATGCAATTGGTTTGCTATAAAGCTCTCTAAAACTTAGTCGCTTTACTCTGAAATTGAGTCCCTAGTCCCATATTTAAATGGAAATAAACATTTACAGGGTGCATTTACATACACTATAATACAAGAATGACGTCCCTTTGCCAGAAGATAAAATTGTACAATTCCTCGCTGTAACTCAGTTCTGACTTGATAAATTTCTTACGCTCGTAAATTATATAATATGCATCAGCTAAAATATTTTTTTTTTCATAAATAGTTACAAAACTTGCCAAAACACATGGGGGGGAAGTTTCCTTTGTTCAAAAATCTGACATCTGAATGCCACACAACACAAGAAACAATGCTTAAAGACACGTTTTTCTGAAGAAAGTGGGTGAGTAAACTACTAGCTGAAGACAAAAAGACTACCCTTCCCCAAGAACACAGTGCACAAAAAGCAAAATGTCAAACAGTACCTCAAGCAAAATAAAGGTCTGAGGATTGAAGCCAGCTCACGTGTGATCCTGCTAAAGAATTTGTGACAGTCACCTTTTAGGTCCGATGCATTGGAAAGTGGTCACTGGCTTTTTTTTTTTTTTTTTTTTTAAACAGCTGAGAGATTCTGCTAAGAATTCAGCCATGGGTGCCTGAGGCATTCTCCAGCTGAAGCACGTTTTTCTGGGACCATTTCTAGCATGGGGATCAGGAAATCTGTAAACTGTGCAGCATCTTCATGAGGCCAACCATACTTCTCCACAAGCACATCAAAAAGACTCCAAGGTTTCAGCTTGGTAATGTGTCGGAGCTCTCCTGCAAACAGAAATATTACTGGCATTAGAAAAATACCTCGGTATCCCTGTTAGCGACTAATCTCTCTCTCGTTTTTCTCCCACTCTGCATTCACAGCACCTTGACCAGGCTGAGAATCGTTATTTAGGAAGGGCTGCACGCTTGCTTGAGGTCCTCAGAGGAGACGAGTACATCCGATGGCAAAACCAAGAAATTGTTCCTTACGTTAGAACGTATGTTAGACCTGGACTCTGCTGTATGCATCAGTTTTGGGTTTTCCTGCTGTCTTTGTTCTGTCTCCCGCACACAAAGGCACTTGTTCACACGCATGCTCACGCCGTGGGCAAAGAATGCCACTTCTTGGTGGCAAAGAACCTCCTTCTTAGGCAGCCAACGAACCCAAATCTTAATGAACACTCTCCAAACCCAAGATGGAGGTCTTAGCAACACAGGTCACCCCCTCGCTACATGGCATATGCCGACAAGGCAGCAGAGCAGCAGTTCACTGTCAACCAAGCCAAGCACTGAGGTGTGGCACGCACAGATTCTGCTCCATCTCCAAGACAAACGCACCCACGAGGCTTCGTCTGAGTCCTTCCTGAGAAGGAAGCACCTACTGCTGCCTATGTCTCCTGCAACCCGCCACCACCACAACCGGTGGCAGCAGCTGCACAGTTTGAGTTCCATCACGGAGCGGGCATATGGCCAACCCTGCTACATGTCTCAGGCCAAAACAAACCAGCAGTATTACCCAGGTCTACCCACACATCATCCAGCCTGATGGGGGAAGACAGACTCTTCTGGCTGCTCCCTGCCCCTCCACTGCCATCTCCCTTCTTCCAGCACACATGTGAAACCAGACAGTCGCCATGTGACGCTACACAAAGCACTCCAGAGACCCCTGTGGTGATCCTGTGATGTCGCTGGACCTGCTGAGGAAGGTGATGGGTTCTCACCCCATACTGGAAGCTGAACACAACTTGCCCATAGCTTAACAAGCACATCACACCATCCAGTATGGGAACATGCAGGCCATGCTATTTTTAAGTGGTTTGGCAACTTGATTGTTGTCTCTGGCCGTAATCTACTGCCCATAAAATGCCATCAGACATCAGCTTGCAGGTCTGAGTTACAGAAGTTCCAGGGCAGGAGAAGGAACCTATGTCTTCAGACTGCCCTCAGAGTCTGAACATCCACATGCAATAGATTAAAATCACCACAGGCGCAGCAGGACACGCATCTGCTGCCTCTGGCCATAGGAAAGTTCTGGCAGGGTGCAACACTTGAAAAAGAAGTTCTCTGGGTGCTACCATAAAGACCCCAAAAAAGCAAGTGTGCAAACAGCTGATCACTCGCAACAGAAAGAGCAGAGACCTGCTGGTAACAGAAAGTCAAGATGTGCTGCCCACAGCTGGCCCACTGTCCTCTTCCCATCTCGAAGGGTAGGCAGGGTGCCAAGA